GGCGCATTTCCGGTATAATCAATTGATTGCCTTTATGGAGATTATATGATGTTTGTCTAAAGTTATTCTTGATTCCGTGGCGATCTCAACGGCGCATATTTGCGATGATGGTGCCAACCGTATGGTATCTGACGCTTCCCGCTTATACCACGCTTAGAATGGCGCTAATTTTTAGCCGTCGTAGCTGCTCAGTAAGGACGCCTTTTCGGTTTGAACTGTCAAAAGCACTTATTCAAACGCTGAACTGAGCGATATTCAAGTAGTATATGTTAGAACATCTTTTATGACTTTTGCGTTTTATTTATATCAGATTGTACAATTTCGGCCCCTCCAGCCATTTTGGAACCACATCTACAATGAAGTTCAATGTGGCCCATTTCCTCCCGCTGGGTAAAACTCCGGTACAGCCAAATTTCTCCCACAGAAACGCTACTACCCGCCCCTCTCCTTCTCGTACTCGTAAGACGTTCGAAATGAAAAAAATGCAGGGAGCGGAGAGACAATAACGAAATAGTAAAGAAGGTTTAACATCCCGGCGCTACTTCAAATACGTGATAAGATATTAATGTTCAATAAAAGTTTATTTCATATAATAATAATATGATTCAAGACTCGCCGAGTTGTATTACAATATCTTTTATGATTAGTTTTGAATCAAGTTTCCAAAATGTTGAATGTATTCATCAACGCTGAGCTGGGAATCTTGATTTTTGTCTGCTGCATCAAAAAGAAGAATCACGTCATCAACAGAACAGCTTACAGAGATGTTTGGACAAATGTTTTCTGGGGGAGTACTTCTCATTGGGAACATATGGCGTACTTCTGTTTCTTCCAAATTTCCATTCTTGTTTTTGTCGGCCAATCTAAATTCAAATTTAAATTCTTCTCTAGTCAAGATATTATCATCATTTTCATCTATAATCAAGAAATCTCTCTCAGCCTGGACAAAAGACTGTATCTTCATTACTGGTCCAGTTGTTTCATTCATTCTAGAAGAATAGATCGTCAAGAATTCTTGTAAATCCACTATATTGCCGGTACCGGGGACCATCTCAAACACCGCATTGACATCTATATCATTAAGAACACCGTCATTGTTTGCGTCCCATGCTAGGAAGACTTCCATAGGAAATCTGGGTGTATCTGGGTTGGCCTCTACCTCTTCATATGTAATGTCACCATCACCATTTATATCATCTATTCGAATGTATCTATGACAATTGTGGTGCGTTAAAACATTGTCGTCATCAAAATCAACCATATAATATTCTTTACGTATTTTAAGCAGGCTCGAGACTCCCGCCTCGCTTCTGATATTGGTCAGGATAGCTGAAAAAAAAAAATTTTTTTGCCACCTTACAATAGCAAAATACAAAATAGAACATATCCTTCCACCATTAATTCACATAGTTCTAGCTTGTTTAGAAAGATTTATACCATCAGCTTGCCGAAGTGCACACCATCTTGTAACGTGATCAGCATTGAAATTGGTTGCTTCAATGGAGGTTCACTAGGCCTATCCTGGTGTTTGACAATAACAAGTCCGGTTATTTTGACATTTTGACAAAACTGACATATCGTCACTGATATATCGTCACGTTTAGGACCAGCTTTGTCGGGCTATTGACTGAGAAAAGAGATATACATAAAAACAATACAGAATATATTTTACCTGAATACACTTGGTGTACAGCACAGAGATAAACTGAAAAATACAACATTTATTTAGTGGTATGAATCGCTTTAATTGTTTTCGTCTGAACAAACATTCTATACTAGCACTCTTAACCCATCACTGTGGACAGCAGATTAACAGGCTTCCTTTACAATACTAATATCATATCACTATAATAGTATATATAGTCCTTTCCAGCTCTGTTTTGTGAAGATTTTACACACCTTCGAAGATGCACTTTTTCTAACATAATATTAAATTACCTTACGATGACTGTAAATTAATGTTGGGTATCATATAGTAATTCATATATATTATTATCTTACCACAAAATATAACAGTTACCCGGTTTACCATGTTGTCAGTATAACAGCTCGTTTAGTAGTAACTCAACTTGTGGTGGTAGTGGTAGATGACAAGTTAACGTCCGCTTCCAAATGAAATCAACTTGTCTACAACTCCAACCTTTATACCTTATATCCCTATACAACAACCAATAATAGCCTTCTGAGCTGCCATCAAAAATAAGCCTGATTAATTAAGTTTCGTGAACTCATTTCTCTTAGTAATTTTTTTATGAATAAAACTCATTTCATTATTTTATCAATTATTTTATGAGATTTGTCGTCTGTGTACTTTAAAAGATACTACCTCTAAAAATCAACATAAATTCTTACTTTCGCTCAAACTTGACCAATAATTGAATAGATACATCAGTTGAATTACCTAGTGTCATAATAATCAGACAGAATCCCTGTATCATTCCAAAAATTGGAGTCTGTTAAGCAAGTTTCAAATCGACGGGTGAGCTGAGGCAATATTACGCTGTCAAATCTGATTCGATTAAGAAACCGAAACAGATTTTGTCTGCAGGATAGATAAAACTGAAAATTTTGTCATGATGGCGATAAGCAGCTGCCCCACCCAACCCCACCTTAAAAAGAATAAATGAGTATTAGTATTTTATGCCTTTATTGCCTTTTTATGGATAGACATCCCGACTGAAATGTGTCGAAATGAGAAACTGTCATATTGTATATAGATGGTATGTGAAAATATTACAATATAAGGGTGTCAACCTATTTTTGTCTATCCCAGAAACGGAGTAATCATTTAAGACGCCAGTTAAGCGGAAGTTATCAGAGTAACGTAGCTTCAGAATCATTTTGCTCGATTACCGTATATGGATTCGATTAGGTGCTTGGATCAATGCAATGCATGCCTGTTTATTTTACCAATGATCACAAATTGTAGCTGTAGGAGAGTGTATTCTTAAAGCTAGAATTCCTATAAAAGAAATTCTTCTCTCTACATTAATGAGAAAAACCATTTTCTAAAACATCTATTTATTCTGCTTCTCGTAACCTTATACTCATAGAGTAATTTACGGAATGTCATCTTTTCCGCAGTTTAAAGGGATTAGACAGTGTTTTTTATAAACTTTTTTTTTGTGTATCAGGGACACTGGTAGCATCAATTTGCACCATTCCGATTTTCAATGGTTCCCACAATTGCACTAAATGTAAGCCTTTTAATGATGTCATTATTTCAAATGTACTTAGTAAAGCCCTTTTCGACAGTGTCGTCTTAAAACGCTTAGTTTTAGTGCAATGGTAGGAACTACAGAAGTTTGATTGTAAATTGGAATGGTGCATATGGATGATGTTACTTACCCCGATACAAATAAAAAGTTTTGTAAATCTTTTTACAATCCCTTGAAGTGTCCAAATCATGATCCATACAATGAAGAACCTAACGGCAGGCTATAAAAAAGACTACTATCTGTGACTCATAAAAGTATAGCATTTGGTTCTACCCGACTCTCCGTCCCTTTGCAGCGTATCTCGGTAATCTTGAAACGTAGATGACCTGAACAATAACCTTTCCCAAAGATAATGTTTTTAACCAACCAAAGTGTGTCATATAAAACTCGCTTTTAGATAAAATATGGAATTGTGGGGTAGCGAAACCAAAAGCCGAAACTACTCTCGTGCATATTTTCTATTAACTTGTCAATCAATTTGTACCATCATTAATATGCATAACATATTATCTTTATAATTATAAAAAAATCAAAATTAATTAAAACACATCACTGCACTAGATAATAATGAACATTTAGTTAAACAATTTATTTGTTAATAGGTTTAAATATATATAGCAGTTCTCTTTTTAATTATTTAATATACTTATTGTCGAATTATATTATCGAATCAGCAATTGAAGAGCAGAGATCAAGA